TTTGAGCCATGGTTAGATTGAAGTTCCCCATCACCCATTTTAGTCTATGTTCTTAATCAAATCATGCTTCCAAAACCTACTCCCTGACGTCACTCATGTTTTCTAAATTTGATTCTACATCGTCTTTGACGGAGGTTGCTGCAAATCACCCAATTGTTTTTTGGTAAAGTTGTTATTTTCGTCTATTTGTTCGTTCTTATGTGCAGGTAGATCGTTAGAAATCATATTTTCCCCAAATCTGTTACGGATGCGGTGGTGGGTGTGGCCACGACGACGCTTCATCAGGTGATGGTGGTAAGGTTCGTCTAAGCTCATGGGTTATTTTAGGATTTTGGTTATGTTGGGTTTGTGAGCTTTGTTTGGGCTTATGGTTAATTGTGGTGATGTGGGCTAAGTTTTAGTGCGGCTTTTGTTCGCATTAGTTGTGTTTTTAGCATGTTAGTTTGTTGCCCTCTTGGAATTGATATTTTAGATGTTTTGTTGATGTCTTTAATTGTACCATTGAAGTGTATCTAATAAAGTTTCTATTTCTTAAAAAATAATAATAATAACTTCAGCTTTATGCTCGATCTAAAGCAAATTGAAGTTTAGGACGCTGAAGCTGAATATTGGAATCTCATCCTACTTCCTGCTATATTGCTTTCATGCTCTGACTCTTTTTTGTTTCAGCAAAATATTTTGATAAAATTTGTCTTTCATGGACTGTAATTCTACCTTAAAAAAAAAAAACTTTTTGTAATAGTGCTTCAATTTTTTATAAACTGATTGAAGTTACAATAGTGCTTAAATCATAGATTGAGGTCAAAATAATTTTGTACTCCGACATTGGGAAGCCACAGGCCTAATGTCTTTACCCAATGGATGCACTGTAAAAGTATTGGAGTCATTATATTATAAGGTTCATATATATGATTTTCAAGTGAGGACTTAGTTTTAGTGGTTCGATTACTTTGATTTTATTAAATACATCTTTTGGGAAATGTATGGTCCGCTTTTAAAGTTCACATATATAGGCCTCATTATAGAATTTCACAAAATTACTGTTAGTTAGAGAATACTAATTTGGGCCTGTTATTATATTGGGGCTAAGATACTTAGGCCATGTTTGGTACACCTCATTGAATTAGACTAGGTTCAATAACACTCAAAATCCTTATTTGGTAAGATATGAGACTAACTTAAATGAGACTGTATAGTCCAATAGAGAAAAAATGCCTCACTCGCTTGTCTAATATAGTGAGCCTGAAAAGTGGTTCGCTAAATAGCACGCTCGCTAATAGCACGCTAGCTAAATAGAACACGTGAGTCTGACGCCTCTTTAAAAAAAATATAAGAATTTTATTTGTTTTCTTTTAATTATTGTTTTAGATCTTTGAATGAGTTTTTTTTGGAGCATTTATTTTTTTATAGATAAAAATCCTTAATTAAATTTAAATATTACAATAATTATTTTGATATTGCATTTGGAAAATCAAACTATGGTAATTTACAAATGTTTGATATTTTTTTGATATTGAAACATGTTTAATAATCCATGATGTGATGCTTTCTTTATCGCAAGCAATTTTTACCTTGTCAAATTATATTTTTCAATTTGAAGTCAAAAGTCAAACATACAAAAAGTATACATATGTATATATAATTTTTTAAATTATTGTTTTACTTTGTCCCTGAAAAACCTAGAATTATATAGAGTGAGCTTAGCTCCTTTAACAATGTTTCGACCAACTAAGCCAAAAAACAAATTTAATAATTTTATTCTTCATAAAAAACAAAAACAAAATTTTATTTGTTTTAAATCTTTTTTTTTTTTTTTTTGCTAGATGTTGTTATAAATCTTTGAATTGGGTTTCTTTGTAGCATGTATTTATATTTTATGTCAAAAACCCCAATTAAATTTAAATATTATAAGAATTATTTTTTAGTCCGACCTAGCACCAAATGTAGGTCAGTACTTAATCCAACTTAGTCCAATCCAAGCTAATTCGAGACAATCCCAGGATTTAGTATAGTCCATGACAATTCGCCATGCCATACGACCCCTTAGAGTCTTATAAGTCATTTTATAGTGAGGGCCTTATATATGGCCTTTAGTTGAGATCCTATTTTTTAATTGTTGGATCAGGTTAATTAGTGGCGGATCCAGGATTTGAAAGTCAAGTAGGCGGAACTTACAGATTACATGGATATGGGTACGGGTACGTTGATACAGAAAATTTCCAAAAACTAGGATACATGTATGGCACCGATACAATGATTAAAATAATATAAATAGCAAAATTGATATTGCATCCATCATCTTATAATCATCCATCAAATTTAGAAAAAAAAAAGAACCAAATGCATTTTGATAAAAAAAAAAATAATAAATCAATTAGTACATGTAAAAACAATTAGCATCTATTGCTAAAAAACTAGGCTCTAGTGGTACAATAAATTGGGCTCGGTGTACAATAAAATTGGGTGTCCAAACAATTTTACCCAGTTCAAAATAATTATAGAGAATTCAATACCACTCACATATAATCACGTGATTCCTTGACACTTTTATCCCTCTCTCCTCTCTCTACCCCCTTTTTTTGTTTTTTCTCTTATCCTGGCTTGTTGATTCCTTCTCTCTCTTTTCCAAATTTTTTTCTTCTTCCCCTCCTTTTTATTTTCCTTGGTCTTTTTGCTTCATATCTACCTATTTTGGGTAGGGAGATTTTAACACTAGGCCCAAAAAACAATATTCATCAAACAATTTGTTTTCGAGAGCAAAAGTTTTAATCAAGCCGCAGCACTAGGCCCAAATAACAATCATGAGCCGAACATTGTGGCCGAACATAACATATAGAATGATTATATATAAAAAATATAAAAAATACTAATGATGTCCAATCGTGAAACAGGTTTCACCGTATAAATCTATTTGCGAGGAAAGATGAAGTGATTTGAGTAGAATCTACTCTAGTCTGCAGATGTGAACACGAGATGAGCTTCAGCAAATTCAAGCTATTTTTGTAGAATAAGATATTAAGTTTATTAGTAATTATTCTAATTTTTAATAAAACAATGTCATTCTCCAGTGCAAGTATTAGCATAATATCCTTCCATTTTGAGGGGAGTTTTGTTATGATAATCTTGTATTTTAAGAGAACAAATTGTATGTGTGCTGTTCTGAATGTTGTATGCCAAAAGAATTTCACTCTCTTGCTTTCTTGAAGTACACAAACTAGCGTAGATTTAATTAGCAAGGGAAGTTTTTCAGGTTTTTGGGAATTCAATTGGCTTCTGATAGGCTGCAAATATAAACGCCTTAAATCACCAGCTTAGCTGGTCACGAATAATTTAGAAAAAGAAGTTTGTGACATGAGAAGCTCATATGAAAGCACTTGCTAGGTGGTTAACAATTTGTTAAATATTCATATGGATTAATTGTCCAAATTTCGCAATCAACCCATTTAACAGTTTTCTTCCCAAATGCTGCATGAAAAAAACAGGCCTACTAACTAGGATGGTGAGTAGTGGATGGCTCCATATAACTCCTTTTGGAGCAAGTTCCATCTTTCCAAAAAGTACCCTAAAATACTCTAAATCTATTACTGCTTTTAGACAAAGCACCTATTCTAATTCATCCCCACTCAGTCTCAAGTATATGCTCTCTCTTCTCTGGTCCAAAACCTTGCTCAGCAAGGGGAAAAGTTCCCCAGCCCATTTCCCATGTGAGATTCTAGAACATTCTTTGCCAAAACTTCTCCCAAGGGCTAACACATCATGATTGGTTCGAAGGTTCTTGGAAAATATTATACTTGAACTTTAGAACAAAAATTGCCAACGCAATTTTAAAACAGTGCCAACTAGGTTTGTGAGTGGTGGATCATGGATGGCTCCACCGTCTAACCCCTTTCCTAGCAAGTTCCATATTTCAAAAAGTATTCCATATAACTCTATTCTATTGATACCTTACTTTTTCTAACCTTGCTCATCAAGGGGTAACGACAAAGATTCCCCATCATGGAGATCATAGGTGCCCACTGCCAATTGGCAATGAGAGATTCTAGAAGATTCTTAGCCAAGACTTCTCCCAACCACTAAGACCTTATGTCTGGTCGAGTCAAAAACTTCCAGAAGGTTCTTGGCCAAATGTTTGATTTCATTTTAACTAGCAGCTTGATTCACCCTCCTTAACCTAACTTAAGAGTTACCACCATAACACAAATTTGATTTATGAACTTTTAAGTACATTTAATCTCAAAAGTATTTTTAATGCAAATAAATGTACAAACATATATGAACGACATTATTGACTATCTTATAAGGATAAGACTTATACAGAATGGGGTGTATCCCATATGTCTCTCCTCACGTAATGTCACGTTACAAGAGAGGCAATACGTCATACGAATGAAATAAAAGTCAAATGAGTAGCCAAAAAAAAAAAAAAATTGTTAATACTGTGTAGCACTACTTGTCCTTCACTATGTTGCCACGTGTCACAATACAATTTGATACCTTCCCCTTTTCGAAAAAAGTGGCTCCTCGCCACGTAATCTTTGCATTAGGATGTTATGTCATTGCTGCGAAGCAGGTGATCGCGGCAGTCGTTATTCTACTCATTGGCGCCAACAGGACAACTGCCATGACAAGTTTTTTTTTCTTCGCTGCTAAAACTGCCATGCCAAGTTTGAGATTTTATTTCCCTGCTACAACTGCCATGGCAAGTTATGTACAGTGTGCTTGTTTTCCCTATATATATAGTGGTATCATGAGCTTTGCTTCTTACACAACAGCCTTTGGTCGTATCTCAGTGCTTACATTCAAAAATTTCAAGGTCAGACTTTTTCTCATTTGCATTTGCTTGAAAATTGAAATGCCAGGCCCTTGCTTTCTGTTCTGCATTCTGTTTACTTAATTTTTTTGAGCTCAGTTATTTACTTCAGAGAATTGGTTTTTCTTTCTGCTTTATTTATATCAATTTGTACGTTGAATCTGCAGCAGTTGCCATCAACATTACAAAAATGGTTAAGACAATTCAATTGTATGGATTTTCCTCCAGCGAGTCTCCAGCAGCAGTGACAGAATTTCTGGAGGCATATACTGGAAAAGGAACTGTTCATGCTATAAAGTTTCTTCCTCCCAAAGATGGAAAATCAAGAACACTTGCCATAGTTCAGTTCACAGATGCAAAATTTGCTGGTATCATAATTCCATTAGCCGATGCTCGAATCCTGTGGTACAATAAATCTTATTTGAAAGCTAGAAAAGCGAAGTTTGACATGGTGCCCAACTCAGAAATCTTTGAGCACTGCACGGAACTTGTACAACTTCACTTGGGATGCCAGATTTCTGAGGAACAGTTTTCTGTGCTTTGGGCAAGATCGGATGTTTTGGTGAAATTTGGGGTGGGACTTAAGAACATCTACTTGTTCTTCTCTTATGATTCGGTTGATTACAAGCTTGAGATCACCTCTGAAAATGTTAGCCAGATTGAGCTATATCATCCACGCGGTCAACTTACAAAGTTTCTTCTCATCCAGGTTTGCCCAGCAGTTAAATTTAAATGAAAAACATGGATAACTGTTTTAAGTTCTACTAAAGGTTGAGCATATTTACCAATTGCTAACATTTTTATCTTCCTCCCTTCTTTCTCTTACTAGTTAATTGGTGCTCCTCGGATTTTTAAGAAAGCTTCCAGAAGGCAGTGGGTTCGAGGAGTTGATTTCACTCCTACATGCTACATTGGGCAATCTTCTGCTGTATGTTTGGAGCTTCCACCAAGTTGTGAGCTTCCGAATCTATGCAGTGGTTTTGTTCATTATAAAGAAAACGAAGGACCGTTCGTTCTGGAGAGAGGTAACAATTTGTCCTGTAATTTAGATAATTGTCAGCTCTGTCATTTAATTCGGAGTTGGTTTCAAACTCCCTTTTGAAATTCTTGTTTGCTTTCAGTAGTTATTAAGCCTTTGTCTTTTCAAGTAATTTATGTAAAGAGAAGTTGTAATGAGTTCCGAGTCATTAGTTTCTATTTGTACTTTGAAACAGCTACAAAATTGAAGCTTCAAAACTTTGAACATAGCATGGAACTTGTCAAGCTGCACTTGGGATGCCTGATTTCTGAGGGACAGTTTTCTGTGCTTTGGACAGCATTGGATGTTTCAGTGAAATTCGGGAAGGAATTTAAAAATATCTACTTATTGTTATCTCTTGATGCTGTTGAATACAAGCTAGAGATCTCCTCTGAAAGTATTCGCCAGATTGAGCTACATCATCCACGTGGCCAATTTCCAAAGTTTCTTCTAATCCAGGTATGCCAGTTAAACTACAGAATTTGTGAATCATGACTTTGCATTTTGCCATGAAATATACAAATAAGATGTTTTCCAATTGCAGTAGATACCTGAATAAGATGTTTTCCATTCACTAGTTCCTACATGATAATCTGATCTCATGTCAAATTTCTCAAACACTATAACTTCATTGCTTCGGCGCAGAGAATTTGAACGTTGTTGAGACAGACTATTGTGTTCCTTATAGCATAGCAAAATTACTATATTATGTCTGGAACTTAGGGCAAATGACTAACATTGTGCTCCGCCTTTCTTCTTTCTCTTGCTAGTTACTTGGTGCCCCTCGGATTTTCAAGAAAGCTTCTCAAAATGGCTGGGTTCGAGAAGTTGATTTCACTCCTTCACGCTGCATTGGGCAATCTTCTGCTGTATGTTTGGAGCTTCCACCTACTTGTGAGCTTCCAAATCTACGCAAGAGTTTTGCTCATTATAAAGAAAATGAAGGGCGGTTGGTTCTGGAGAGCGGCAACACTTTCTCCTGTACTTCAGGTCTGGTTCCTATCGTGGGTCCACCCCTTGGCATTAACTTGCCATACAAAATCCTTTTTAAGATCAATTCCTTGGTTCAGCATGGATGTGTTCCTGGGCAAGCACTTGATGTCAATTTTTATAAGCTAGTGGATCCTAGCATAATAAGAACTGAATATATAGAGTGTGCCCTGGACAAGCTGTTTCGGTTAAAAGGGTGCTGCTATGAGCCTGTGAGTTGGCTTACTGAGCAGTACAAAGAGTACATGGCATGCAAGCGAATTCCTCAGTCGCCAGCTATTTCTTTAGATGATGGGATGGTGTATGTGCACAGAGTTCAAGTAACACCATCTAAAGTTTACTTCTGTGGTCCAGAGGCAAATATATCCAATCGTGTTTTACGAAATTATCCTGAAGATGTTGATAATTTCCTTCGTGTTTCTTTCGTGGATGAGGACATGGGTAAGATGCGTTCAGGAGATTTATGTCCACGGACAAATTCTACAACTTCAACAGAAGAGGAAAGGAGAACTGGAGTTTATGAAAGAATACTTTCTACTCTAAGAAATGGCATAGTCATTGGTGAAAAGAAGTTTGAGTTTCTTGCCCATTCGTCGAGTCAATTACGAGAGCATTCGGTGTGGATGTTTGCATCTAGAAGTGAGTTGACTGCACAAGACATCAGAAATTGGATGGGTGATTTCAGTGACATAAAAAATGCAGCAAAACATGCTGCCAGGTTGGGTCAGGCTTTCAGCTCTTCAAGGGAGACTTTTGATGTTGGTGAGGATGAAATTGAATTCATTCCTGATGTAGAAACAGAAAGAGGTGGAGTTAAATATTGTTTTTCTGATGGAATTGGGAAGATATCTGCGGAGTTTGCTGGAAGAGTGACAAGCAAGTGCGGCAAAAGTACTACTCCATCCGCCTTTCAAATTCGACTTGGTGGCTATAAAGGTGTTGTGGCAGTTGATCCTACATTGTCAAAGAAGTTGGCACTGCGAGATAGCATGTGCAAGTACCAATCCAACAACACAAAACTAGATGTTCTGGCATGGAGCAGGTACCAACCTTGTTTCCTTAATCGTCAACTGATCACCCTTTTGTCCACCCTCGGAGTCCCCGATCATGTTTTCATGAAAAAGCAAAACGAGGCTTTGAAACAATTGGAAGGTGTTTTGACTGACCCATCAAGAGCACTGGAAGCACTTGAAATGATATTCCAAGGAGAGGTCACCAACGTTTTAAAGGAAATGCTTGCGTGTGGTTACGAGCCAGATGCAGAACCATTTATGTCATTGATGCTACAAGCATTCTGTGCATCCAAGCTTGTGGAGTTGCGGACCAAGACGAGGATATTTGTTCCAAATGGAAGATCCTTGATGGGATGCCTAGATGAAACCGGGACATTGGAATATGGTGAGGTATTTGTGCAGTGTTCTCAACGTGCCGTCTTCGGTGGCAATAGCAATAGCAGCGCTACTTCAAGCGAAGACAATTTCATTGTTGAGGAAAACGTAGTGGTTGCTAAAAACCCCTGTTTACATCCAGGAGATGTTCTTGTTCTTAGGGCTGTGAACGTGCCGGCCTTGCACCACATGGTGGATTGTGTAGTCTTCCCTCAAAAAGGAAAGCGGTAAGTAACTAAATTTGTTTCATATTGCACCTGCATATTAGTGTTTCTCTATTCACATACTGACTATGTTTCTTTCCTTGTATTAGGCCTCATCCGAATGAATGCTCTGGAAGTGACTTGGACGGAGATTGTTACTTTGTCAGTTGGGACCCTGATCTAACTCCTCCTTGGCAAGTTCAACCTATGAATTATACCCCAGCACCAACTATTGAATTGGATCATGTTGTGACAATGGAGGTATTTCTCAATTCATCAAGTGAAATGTAGTCAATGATATTTGAAAGATATATACTTCGCTTGTTGAATCTTGTCTCTGCCTTATTCATTGCGTTCTGTTGTGTTTGTTACAGGAGGTTACAGAGTCATTTACCAACTACATAGTGAACGACAACTTGGGGATCATTTGTAATGCACATACTGTCTTTGCAGACACAGAGCGACAGAAGGCTGCCAGTGCTCCATGTATCAAGCTCGCCGAGCTCAGCTCGCATGCTGTTGACTCTCCAAAAACTGGTGTGGTAGTGGAAGTGCCACGCTGTCTACGTATCCACAAATACCCAGATTTCATGGAGAAGGTTGACAAACTCACCTACGAGTCAAAACGTGTGATTGGGAGGCTTTTCCGACAGGTGAAACGTGTTGAGCTCGCATCAGATTCACCTTCAAACTCAGGCTCAATTAAATCCTTCACCATGGAAGTTGCTATGAAGTTTTATGACCCCGATATGGTGGTAGATGGATTTGAAGACTACGTCAAAGATGCCATCAATTACAAAAATGAGTATGACTACAAGCTGGGAAACCTGATGGATTACTACGGCTACAAAACTGAAGCCGAAATACTAAGTGGGAGCATCACTGCAGTATCAAAAAATTTCAACAGGGGAAAAGACTTGGAGTCGATTGATTACGCTATAAAGGCACTGAGAAAGGAAGCCAGGACCTGGTTTGATGAGAAGCTGGGAATGCAGTCGGATATGAAGCCTGATATCAATGATGTAGAATCAGCAAAAGCATCAGCTTGGTACCATGTTACATATTATCCTGATTACTGGGGTCGCTGCAACAAGGGAATGGAAAGAGATCATTTCCTGAGCTTTCCATGGTGTGTGTTTGACAAGCTCATCCAGATCAAGAGGAGAAACTCTTCACTTAAGTAATCATTGAAGCGCCATGACACTTGACAAAGTCTGCATTGGGAGTTTGTTGGAAAATCGAAAGATGTTCTTAGCTAGCTGTTTGTGTTTTCCCTTAGAACTAAGTACATAAATATGATTTGTAATGTTTTCTTTAAGCTATTGAAGAGTGTATGTAAGTAATTTAGTTTATTAGAATTGCTTTCTTACTGATTGTAATTGGATACCCTGTCTGTCATCACTAGTCCTTGTAATTAGCTTCATTGTTTCTATATTTCCATATTCACAATCCTGTAAACACTATATATATAAATATTTTTGTTTGTTTTTTGTTTTTTTTTATTCCTTCCCCATCCCTGTCAACCCTCCCCACTTCTCCCTCATCTTGACCAACCCCACCGCCCCACCATCACACACCCAAACCCCACATCCTATTTCACTCTTTCATTTACACTGATGCTCAAATATTCAGAATCATGAATCAGATACAACAAGGGCGTTTAAGAAATATTTTAAAATATTTTCCTACTACATTTCTGTGTACATGTTTATTTTCATCAACATTTACAACTCAGAAAACCTCTTAAAATTCAGAATTACAGACAAATTAAAAAGAAATTATAAATGTAGGTTTTCACATAACCAAAAGATAATGATCAATAGATGATAAAAAAGTATGATAGCATATAACCATCCAACGTGCATACAGTAATATATATTCATTCAATTATGTTTTATGCCTGTATTGTAATGGTACAAATCAGTCATCATGATCAGCAGTCAATAGCATAGATGACGATGGGTGAAGTGGGCTATGTTGGTAATCAGAAAAATCCCAGGAAATCTAGTAAATATACCCCCAAAATGCAACAAAATCTGAACAAAACAGACTGACGAACTGTTCAGTAAGAAATTGAATAGTTACCCTAAAATGAAATTGAACAATTGCCCTTGGAATGAAATTGAATAATTACCCTAAAATGAAATTGAATAATTACCCTAAGATGATGAACGAACACTAACCCTAAGATAAAGGTTCTGGGGCTTCATACTTTGAATCGCATCCCTAATGGCCTAGCCGTTCGTTCCTGAAGGTAACCAATCCGGACGGAGGACCAGGACCTGCCGGCGTCACTCACAGTCATTGATGATCTTCGATTCTACGATCTCACCCAAGGGAGAAAAATCCCCCGCCTGTGAAACATTGTCGGCGTCAGGCGATCCCGGTTAATAATAATCGGAACCCAATCTCGGTGCCGAGTATCGCCGCGAGGATATACTCATTTTTACTTTTTTTAAACTACGCATAGCCGAGCGGCTATATGGAGGCCCCCGCTAGCGCCAAGCGATTTGGCCCACGTGTCAATAAACGTATAGCCGCGCGGCTACACTATTTATAAAAACAGCAAAAAAATCAGATCCTCATAAAGCCGAACGGCTATACTCATTTTTAAAAACAAATACCGGGTCAAGCCGAGCAGCTATACTATTTAATTAAAAAAAGACAAAAAGATAGGGCCCGCCTAGCGATTCGGAGCCACGTGTCCAAAACAGTACAGCCGCGCCGCTATACTATTTTTATTACTAAAAAACCCATATGTATAGCCACTCGGCTATACTAAAAAAGACCCCAGTAAAGCCGATCGGCTGTACTCATTTATTTGTTTTTAATTCCAAGTATAGCCGAACGGCCAGACTATTTGTAAATAAAAAGGCGCCTAGAGCCTAGCTAATGATTCGGCGCCACGGGTTCAAAAAGCAACCCCAAGTAAAGTCGCCCTGCTATACTCAATTTTTGAAAAAAAAATCCCGAGTACCGCCGCACGGCTAGACCCTTTTTTTTTTTTTTTCCAAACAGCGGATCTGCCTCGCGCCTAGCGCCCGTCTAGCAATTCAGTGTCATGTGTCAAAAAACGTATAGCCACGTGGCTATACGATTTTTATTATAAAAAACGTAGTATAGCCGGGTGGCTATACGCTTTAAGTATCATATGTAAAAATAAGTATAGCCGTGCGGCTATACTACTAATTAAAAAAAAAATTAAAAGAAAAGGACCCGTCTAGTTGCATTAGTTTATATTTTATAGATATTAATTTGCTAGTTTCGACATCTCCAAAGCAGATATTGAAAAAATCAATTTGAGAGTTCAATTTTGTTTTTCTTCTTTTTTTGTGGGAATGTTCGCCTTTGGTCTACCTCGTTCTCTCAAGTAATACTAAATTATGTTATTGCACAAATTATTTGTTGTAGAGAATTGCATGCTGAGTTTGAGTGTTCTTGGTAATTTCTTCACATTTCAAACAACACTTTACATAAAGAATACTACCACCTCGCTTACTACTATACTCATGAATCTTTGTTTGAAATTGTTCTTATGGTTAGCAAGGAGATTGCAAAATCACCATCTTGCATTTTTGTTATAATAAGTAAGAAATAATCTTTGCCTCTCACATTCTTTCATAGTTAGTGAAACATGGAATGAGAAAAATATGAATAAAATACGTACGTGTTTTATTAGGAAATATTTTGACAAATTACAAATGATAAGTTCAGCCACTACATAATATTTTAATATGATTATTAATTGTTTTTAATATACATTATTTTTATTCAATAATATGCTAAAATTGTGTGTATAATACGTGAATTTTGTGTGTATTATTGAAAATTTTGTAAAAAAATAAGTGTATTAAACATGAAAAATACTTATGTATGTATACCATTCGAGTATTAAACGTGAAAATGCTAAATTATTTATATGAGTAATAACTCTGTAAACGTAATAACTTAAAAGGGGACAATAAAGACTCGGGTAATGGCCTAATGGTAATAGATAATATTCTAAACTACTCTTATAGATAAACAAAAATTTGGAAAAAACAATTTTTTTTTTATAAAAAAAAAATCACAGTATGTATGTAAAGAGTATAGCCGCACGACTGTACTATTTATTCATATAAAAATAAAAATAAAAATTTGACTCTAGTAAAGCCACACGGCTGTACGCATTTAAAATTCGGAGTATAGCCACGCATCTATACGATTTTTTTTAAAAATAATTATAAAAAGAGAGGACCCGCCTAGCGATTCAGTGCCACGTATCAAAAGAGGTATAGCAGCGTAACTATACTATTTATATATATATATATATATATATATATAAATAAAAATGAGGAAGGAAATGGAGAGCACTTGACAGTTCTAGTTGGTAAATTGGTAGTAAGTGGTACATGCATAGGTCGTTTGGTATGACCAACTGTCATGAACTGAATTAAATCCTGGAACTGTCTAATTTGCCTAAGTTGAATTAAGTATTGACCTGCGTTTGGTGCCACGTCGAACTAAGAAGCTAGATTGTAAAAATATTGAAGACCTATATTTTGTGATGTGTTGGACTAAAAAATGATTATTGTAATACTTAGATTTAAAACAATAATAAAAATAAAAGAACTAAATTTTTGAATTTTTTAAAGGCTAAAATTATCTTTAAAAAAAAATAAAAAATCATCATATTCAAACCCAACCCAACCCAACTCAACCTCCTTATTTTTTTAATCTTTTTTTTCTCTATCTATTTTCTTTTTCTTTAATAAGAACCTCCCCATTCTTTTTATCTTCTCCCCTTTTGACTCTGTTTTATTCAATCAAGAAAGCCTTAGGCAAAGGCTTCAGCAAATACATTCTCCCACACACGTCCTCTTCGATCTTGTCCAGCCAGTGATTTTGGTTTGTTTGGTTGTAGAAATTAGGTAACCTTGTTGACACACTGTCTAACCTCACTTGGGTGGGCCTCTAATGGGCTGCCACGTCTGCGGCCCAAGGATAGAAGTCAGTGGTTGTTCTCCTACAAAAGGGACTCTTTCCTCTTGCTGGAAGGGGGACCCTAAAATAGATAAGGAGCCAAGAGACGAGAGTGCTCTCATCAACTCTCTCTTATTTCCTCCAGATCTCTCTCCTTTCCCATTTGTAAAGGCTCTAGCCTATCCCAATCTAATCTCTACACATATATACAAATACAACAATCAGTGGATGTAGCCCGATTTTATGGGTGAACCACTCAATCTCTTCGTTCTACCTATATGATTGCGATATTACGGCTGTCCCAAAATTATAGGTTCAACAAACCTCATGGTGGTGGTTTGACGGTTTGACTATTGTGGTGGAGAGGTTTGATTTAGGCCAAGGATCTTTCTTCAGTGAATATGGTTTACTGAAAACCTAAATCAAGAAAATCCAATTCCATTTTAAGAAGAAGAAGAAACGGGTTTAGTTCGGACTTGCATGTTCGATTTAGTGAGGGCGCTATATTGCAAACCACTTTTCAACCTCGCTAAATTAGAGGAGGGAGTGAGGAGTTTTGTTTACTGTTGGACTATATAATTTCTACTAAACATGGGTTTTAGGTGTTATTTAAGCTAGTTCAGTCCAGTAAGGTCTACCAAACACAACCACATAGGCGGTGCTAATGCGGGATTAAATGGTAAAATAGTTGTTGTGACTTGGCAGGCCCAAATAAAGCCCATAAAACAGTCCATATAAGATACAGGCCATGGACTTCTCACCACTTTTATTATAAAATATAAAAAAATTATAAAATATAAAAAAATTGAACTTTGGCATTAGAATTTAGGCCCAAAAATTGCACTAATGTTCCGTGGTTTGCACTGTGTACTCTCTATCTTTTTTTATATAAGTGATATTCAAGGAGGGAGAAATCGAATTTAGGATATCAGGTGCAAAAGTAAGTGTTTTTAACCACTTGAGTTACAAATCTAGTTAAATATATTTTCAAACGGCCTAATAAATTTAAAATAAAAATGAAAACTTCTTCTCATGCATGCATGACTTCAATTGTAAAGTGTCATCTCAAATATACAGTGCTAGTTTCTGATATACAACGGCCGGAGACTATATTATAATGGGTCTTAATCTGGTACATAGTTTTTCCATTTGCGTACCAAGGTCCAAGCACATAGTTTGGGATTGGCCATAAACATCCCCATAAGAAAATAAGAAAGTTTGGGTTATAGAATTTACGATAGGATTGACAATGGTTTTATTTTGTGTGTTTTTACGCTAATGCAAGTCATTTTTATTTAATTATTTCTTTTAGTCATTTGAGGCAATTAGGTATGGACTTTTAAAGCCAAGTGATGCATTTTAACTTTTGTTTGTGAATTGATCTGTTTGTTGTATTGATTGAATCAGTCGAGAATTATACACTACATTCCATTGGATATCGTGCTTCATAACACAAGTTTAACCAGCAAACTAACTCACTAACTACATGTGGCATTGATGACATGGCACTTTCTCCGTTATCATTGACTAGTCATGCTAAACGGTTCAACCAATGGCAACCTTTCTATATTTCGAGTATAGGCATGTGACTTTTTTCCCTGAAAAAAAATGTACCCAATCATGTTATATTGTAGGGCACTACCCTTAACATAATTTTCTTTAATTTATGGAGATAAAAAAAAATGAAAAAAAAAAAACTTTTTAATATTAATGATTCGCTACTCGGTCAGTCAGATTCTCAGTCAGGCATGTGAGCTGTTGGGGAAGAAAAATTAAAATAAATGGATTCAAATAATTGCATGTGACTTGCGAGTCCCCAAAAAATCCACGATATTAGGCAGAATATTAATTTTGTTTTTATTTTTTCAAAGAGTACCTTAAATTTTGGGAAACTTCCCATGTGGCCCATGATGCTACAGGACGGGGCAAATCAAAATTCAATTGTTTGCAGTTGGACTTTGGTAGATCCATTAAACACATTCAATTTTGACATGCTAGTTTTTTATATTCCGAGTAGGCCATTTAGTTAGTGTACTATCCAATACACATGTGATATGTGAAAATATTTTTCATCTTCAATATACATAGAATATAAAAATAAAATATTTCCCCATGTTTTATGTATATCGGATATAGAAAATGCTAGAGGCACTACCCATCGGATATACACCAATCAGCTGGTGTATTTGAAACATACAAAAATTTATCCCATATCACCTAACCATAAGTTGGGCATTATCCAAATCCCAACCGTCTTAATGTTGTCTTATTAGCGTTTGTAATTACACAAAGCAAACCGTCTTCTTCTGAGAATTTAAGCTCAAAGCAAACGAAGCAGACGACATATGTGTAAGACACACAGAAAAATAGGGAGCCTCTCAACTGCTCAATTATTTATAACACTAAATATATTATGTTGGAAAACTGGGAAGTCTTTTTAAGTTATTCTAAATTTTTGGATGAAGCCTTAAAATTTGTACGTGTTTGAAGACTAAA